GTTGTCCCCTTACCCCATCCCCCACCCACCCAGGAACCCCCAATCCCCTCACCCCTCCTCCTTCTTCTCTGTGGATGTAACCTCTATCTACCCTCCCACTCCCACCTCCCCACCCTCAAAATTCCCACCCCCTGGGGCATCCAGCCTTCATTTGGTCAAGGTTCTCTTCTTCCACCTCTGCCCAGCAGGGCCCTCCACTCTTACATATTCAACTGAAGCGCTGGAGCCCTCCCTAAGTCCTCCCAGGCTGGTGGTTTAGACCCTGGGAGCTGTGGTTGGTTGGTATTGTTGCTCTCCTCATGGTGCCACAAACCCTTTCAGCTCTCCTTCATTCTTCACTCTAACTCCTCTATTGAGAACCCCATGATCAGTTCAATGGCTAGTTATGAGCATCTGCCTCTGAGTATGTCAGACTCTTGAAGACCTCTGAGGAGACATCCATATCAGGCTCTTATCAGCATGCACTTCCTGACTTCCACATCAGCCTCTACCTTTGGTGACTGTACATGGGATAGATACTCAGGTGGAGTGGTCTTGAAATGGCCCCTCCTTCAGTTTCTGTCCCTCACTTTGTCTCCATATTTGCTCCCTTGAGTAATTTGTTGCTCCTTCTAAGAAGGACCGAATCACCCCCACTTGGTCTTCCTTCTTTATGGGCTTCTTGTGGCCTGTGAGTTGCATAGTGCCCATGCTAACAGTGTTCTATTCAGAAAGTTCTTTTCTGTGCCAATGAGTTCAAGGCTATTCCCCACTTTCTTGGCTATCAGTTTCAGCGTTTTTGCTTTTATGTTGAGATTTTTGATCCACTTGAAGTTGGGTATTGTGCAGTTTGATAAATACAGATCTGTTTGGATTCTTCTATGTGCACCTGTCCAGTTAGAACACCACCATTTGTTATAGATGTTCTCTTTAATCTAATGCGTATTTCTGACTTTCTTATCCAAAGATAAATATGGATCTATCTTCTACATGCAGCTATCCAATTGGAACATCAAAATTTGTTGAAGCTTCTCTCTTTAGTCCAGTGTGTACTTCTGGCTTCCTTGTCTAAAATCAGATAGTCACAGATGTGTGTATCTTCAATTCGATTCCATTAATTAACATGTCTGTTTTTACGCCAATACCATACTGGTTTTATTACTGTAGCTTTGTAATACAATTTGAATTGAGGGAAGGTAATACCTCCAGCAGTTCTTTTATTATTCAGGATAGTTTTAACTACCCTTATTGTCTTTGTGTGTGTGTGTGTGTGTGTGTGTGTGTGTGTGTATGTGTGTATGTGTGTGTGTTTCCATATAAAGCTGAAATGTGTTCTTTCAAGGTCTGTGATGAACTTTGTAGGAGATTTCATTAAATCAATGGATTGCTATTGGTAACATGGTGTTTCTTACTATACTAACCCTACTGATCCATGAGTATGAATGATCATTCCATCTTCTGATGTCTTATTCAACTTCTTTATTTGATCTCCTAAACATTTTATAACACAGATTTTTCACTTGCTTAATTAGAGTTACTGCAAGATGTTTTATATTATGTGAGGCTACTGTGAAAGGTGTGTCCCTTGACTTGTTTTTTAGTCTGTTTGTTGTTTGTATATAGGAAGGCTGTTGTGTGTGTGTGTGTTGAGAGAGAGAGAGAGAGAGAGAGAGAGAGAGAGAGAGAGAGAGAGAGAGAGAGAGAGAGAATGAGAGAGAGTTAATTTTGTATCTAGCTACTTTATTGAATCTTTCGATCTGTTGAAGGACTTTCCCAGTAGTATTTTAGGGTCATTTATGTACTTGATCATATAATCTGCAAAAGATAATTTGACTTCTTTCTTTCTGACTATTGATCTCCTTCATTTGTCTAATTCCTCTAGCTAAGACATCAAGTACTACATTAAATATATATAAAGAGAATGGGTAACTTGCTCTGATTTTAGTGGAATTGTTTTGTGTTTTGTTCCATTTAAGTTGATCTTGGCTATGAGATTGCTGTAAACTGACTTTATTCCGATGAGGTTTGTCCCCTCTATCCCTCAGCACTCGAGGACTTTACTTTTGAAGGGCTGTTTGATTTTGTCAAATGTCTCTCTGCTTCTAATGAGATGATCATATGATTTTGTCTTTGAGTTTGTTTCTATGATAGATTAGACTTGTCAATTTATGTATATTGAACAATACCTGAATCTCTGGGATGAAGCTTGTTTGATCATGGTGGATGATCTTTTTGATGTCGTCTTGGATTCTGTTTGCAAGTATTTTATTGAGTGGTTATCTCTGCTAATGGGGCCCCTTAGGAGGTTTGTACTAGTTGTACTGATACCCAATTCTCTGGGTAAAATTCAGTTATGGCAGAAGATGTTCAAATTCAGTGTAGAGGAAGAGTTTGGATCACATATTAGTAGAAATGTGGCTGGAAATGTTTTCTGAAGTGTAACATAAAAGCCCTTGTCAGAACTCTTAGCAGCTGGGTCATTATCTCAGTGTGACAGCATTACAAAAGATTTCTGTTTCCATCTTTGTGCTTTTTTGCATTTAAATTTTTTTCAATGACTAAATTGTGTTTATGACAAGAAAGGAAACAATTATATGCCTTAAGAAGTTGGAAAGAGCAACATGCAAACATTTTACATACAATTAACCCCAATCTAAAGTAAGGAAGCAAACACAGGAACTGAGTTTAGGAAAAGTATCCAAATCAGCAAAACCACATCAGCAACCATTCCTCAGTGAGAAATATTATGTCTTTTTCATTATTCTCCACTTTTATAATAACAAACATGTAATACTTCCATGAGAATACCAATTAATTTTATTTGAGCCTAAAACTGCAAGCAAATTTACCTCAGCTGCTTGAAAAACAAGACTTTGTTTTTCTTGTTGCTTAAAAATAAGACTTTAAACTTACTGGAAAATCACTTCCTGATCAAACTGTAAATAAAGAGAAAACCAGCAGGAGGAGAAGGAAAAGCGATCACTGGTTAAGAGGGTGACAATGATTCCAACCTCTTCCAGGCTTTTAGACCTGCCCAGAAAACCTTTTAGTTGTCTCTAGACAGCTCCATTTCCAACACTCTATGTGGCTATTATAAGCCCTCACTATGCTCATCAAGATCCTCTCCTTCACACTCTGTAGATGACCTTGCTACCTGCTTCATAAAAATCAGATGTCATACACTGCAAAATTTCTTTTCTTCTCCAAGACTCATCTCCAAGCTCATCCGTATCTTACAAGTTTTTCTATTGGTTTTTTACTAGTATTTAATGCATGCAAAGTAATGGGACTTCTTGTAGAATTTTCATACATTCTTTCTTTTTCCTTCATTCTCTTCCTTTACTTCCCTCTAGTGTCTCTCTCAGTCTCTTTCCTTTATCATGGTCTCTCTTCAGCTTTCACGTCACTTGTAGTTCATTCTTTCTCCTTTTTTCCCTCACTCCTGACATTTAAGATATTTTTTGTTCCCGTTTGACTTTTGACACATAGAAACATACACCATACATATTCACAACATTTGTCTCTGAGTCTGACTTATGTTGCTTAATGAAGTTTTCAGGATCTCATTTTCCTTTATAGAAGAATGAAGTTCCACTGTATAAATGTACATTGTGTTTATCAATTCATCTGCTGATGGAACTCTAGACTGGTTCTATTTATTAGCTATTGTGAATAGCACAGAAATAAACATGAGCTTTGAAATATCTCTAATATAATGTAAGAGTCCATTGAATACACACAAACAGGTATTTGGAAAACTGTTCAGCATCCTTAGCCATCAAATTCAAACTACTCTCATTCTAGTCAAAATGATGACCACCAAGGAGGGGAAAATGAATAAAAAATGTTATCAAGAATGTTGGGACCTTATCCATTGTTGATAAAAATGTAAAAAGTATGAACTGATTCAACCACTATGGAAACTAGTACGGAGATTCAATAAAACAAAAGCAAAAAAAGAATCATCATATTTTAGAGGAATTTTAATCCAGCAACATGGCTGTTCTGCCAAGAAATCACATCCAAATACCTTCTAGGTCTATATGATCCAGCTGGACTGTAAACACTGGAGGTAAGGTTAGTTTGTTGAAGGAAGCACCCATGTTTTAAAGTTATGTTTAATGATGGGCAGAAAAAGTGCCAAGACAGAGAAAGATTTGACAGAATGAGTCAGGGAGAGGATATGTCTAACTCTCACAAGAAGAGTACAGGAAATAGAGGCAACTTAAAAGCAGGGCAGGGAAACAGAAAGATTTAGCTTAAATGCAAGTGGTTTGGCATGTGTGTATGGCAGTTTCATGTGATGGTTTTACAGACACAAATTGCAAAGAGAATAAACTAGACAAGAATGCAGACAGAACAATCCAGAGAGTAAGAAGGAGTCAAAGATTAAACCACATTGCCAAAGTTCATTTGAGGCCAAGCAGAACAATTCAGGGAGAAGTCAAGAGAATCTGAATTGAATCGGTGAGCTTGGAAGAAGCCCCAGGCTTAGCCTAGGCCTAGGGATATTTAAAACAAAGAAAAAAATGCTCTTGACTCACCTCAAGCCATGTATTTGCACAGCTTAGGTATGGCTCTCATCTCATCCCTTCATCTGAGTACATAAAAGTGACATTTACATCACATGACCAAACTATGTCATATCTTAAGTTATTAAACCAAGTATTTGTGTCTCAGGGAGAGAGGTACAGACTTCTTTCTTTGCAACAGCAATTTGTGCACCAGGCTCTACTGTTTTACCTTTCCTGGATTATTACTTTAATTTCTTCCTCTACATTGACACTCATCCTCTGTGGTATCTTGAAGTACTACTTCTTTCATTTGACATTGGCCTGGGGTATATATGCTGGTATTATCAGACATTCTGGGGTACATATATTCTGGGGTATATATACTGGTATTATCAGACATTCTAATAGATTCTATAGCCTCTGCCTGTAAGTTCTTGACATTCTGGAAAATTCTTGTGTTTTGACATGTTTCTTTGCTCTGTGCAAAAAGCTTAGACTAACAGTACTATTGCTACTAGGGGCATTGTAGGAGTGCCTGCTATGTCACATGTGTATCAGTAGGTAGCAAAGAGGGGAGAGGATATATTATGCTGATCTTCTGACTTGTGAAAATCTGAAAGTCAAATAGCCTAATAATACGTTTAAAAAGGGTGGCCTGAAATGACACCAGTATGGCACAACTCAGACCCAGATGGGCTCCCAGGGAGCAAGCCAGAGACCACAAGAACCCTACCTGAGACCCCATACCCTGGGCAGTAGTGATCCTAAGACAGAGAACCCTCACATGGGGCCACTCAGGCATGCCCAAATAAGGAATAAGTCCTAGACAACCACCAGATTAGCTCTGGGACCTGGGCTGGGAATTAGCCCCAGATGACCACCAGTTCAGTGTCACACAGATCTGGAGGGACAGACCATGCCTGAGACGACCCCTGACCAGTGCCATATTTCCTGAGACCACTCCTAAGATGACCCCAGACACTCAGAGACCCTAGGTACCACCAAGAGTTTCAAGTAAACAGTGAAGAAATAGAAGAGATAAAGAGAAAGATGTAGGCACAATGGAGAGGGGCAGAACTGGAGATTTGCAGGTAGGAAGAACAGCCTGATGTGAGTAGCCAGAGATGCCACCTGGAAACATGATGGGGTCCTAGCCAAGTACTCCTAGTGTACTCTAGTACACTGGAGGCCTTGTGTGGGTCTCCTACTACTAAAGACAAGGTGGACTTCCCTGGTCTGGGCCGCTTCCCAGGGACATGTTGATGCCTGAGAGCTGTGTGGGAGATCTGGCCCTGGGGACAAGAGAGCAGGAGAGTTAACCCTTCCTCTGACCAGCTGCAGTACTCAGGAGAGCAGCCTCACACATCGTAGGAGTTGTAGGTGAGATATCACAGAAGATTTGAGTGAGAGAGAGCCCTACTAATCCTCTCCTGTGTGGCTGCATGGATGAAAGAAAGAAACCCTCTGCCCCACTCACTCCTCACTACCTATAGCAGGTGGGAGACCTGGCCCTGGCCACATGAGAGGAAGAGAGATGGCCCTGCCCCTTACCACTTGAAACCCTTTGGAAGAAAATGCCTTACCACTCACCTGGGCACCACAATTGAGCTGACTCTTCTAATGGGGACACAAGGAAGCTAGCACTGAGAGCATGAGCCTGGGAGAGCTGGCCTCATCACTTGACATGGATAAGAAAGAGATGCCCCCTCCCGTTATCCCTTATCACTTACAGCAGGCAAGAGAGCTGGCCTCAAGGTCATCAGAATGGGAGAGCTGGCCCTGCCTCTTATCTGATGCAATACTTGGGATAGCAGGCCCTGCACCTTCCCTAAGCAGCAGAGTAGCGCTGGCCCTGGACATGCAGGTTGCAGTTGAGTTGGAGTGCAAGAGAGCCAGCCCTACTCTTGGCAGCTGGCCTATGGCAAGGAATGGGGGAGAAATGCCCAATTCCCCTCCCTTGCCACCTGTGGCAGGCAATAGAGCTAGCACTGGGATCATGGGAGTGGGAGAACTGGCCATGTCCCTCAATGGGTGCAACACTTGGAAGAGCAGGCCCTGCACCTCACTGAGCAGTAGAATAGAGCTGACCCTGGTTGCAGGGGTTGTCGGTGAGCTGGCCTGAAAGATGTGAAGGCAGGAGAACCAGTAGAGTGACTATCTCAGTTTAGTGATCCAGGCTTTGAATTAGCCCATCCCAACATACAGCACATCAGTGAACTACTAGAGTCCATAAAGGGGCTGGTCCTATAGATCCAAAACTACAGGATCTCCATGATGCAGGGCAACAACCCGAGAGGAGTCGCAGTGAGGTTCCAGTGTTTATAGAGTAGCAGAAGCCAGAGGCCTCCTACCAGACTAACAAGTCACTGCAATGAATATTCACAAGCAAAGCAGTATGCCTATAGGGCATACTGTGAGACACACTGTGATACAACTATAGCTTCCACAGTGAGATTCTTTTTCTCTGTTGGGGGTGTATATGTAAGGGTGGAGGGCGGGTATGAGGAAGGGAAGGATAAATGGGATTGTGGTACATGATGTGAAATTCACAAAGAATCAGTAATAAGTTAAATAATAATAATAATAATTAATAATAATAAATTTTAGTTTTTAACTAATTAAAAAAGAGCCAGGACTGACATGATTCATAAAACAGGAGATTACCTATAATAGCTTAAAGATAAATCATGTGCTTAGGATTTTTTTTAATGTCTTTGCTTTATTAACTCCTCATATAAGCAGTTTGATTTAGATACTTTGGCTTCCATTTTAAACTGGTGCAAAGGACAGACAGGTGCTAAGAAACAAAGTCAGGGAGGTCTAGAAGTTAAAATTATTCCAAGACATGACCTGTTATAGAAGGACAAACAGAAAGCTAATAGCTGGAATAGAGTTACTCCATGAACAGCCTCTCCTTCCAAAGCTCTGAGATTATTATTGAAGAGGAAACAGAAAGGTGTGAGAGCCAGAGGTGGTGGATGACGTGTTTTCCAGACCCAGCAGGACAGTTAAACCTATGAACTCACAAAGCAGTTATGACAGTACATGCCTAAGGCAGACAAAATCCCACCCTGGAATGGGGAGATAGGTGTGAAGTCGCCTCCCTAGCTAAGGAGCTATTGTGATTTATAAGAAGAAAATAGGCCTTCTGAGAGAGCAAAATCCATTTTTCATTAAAGGCATTGACTCTGGTAGGTTGATCATGATCTAGGTGAAAACATATGTTCACAAGTATAGGGACAGTCAACTGAACTTGATTGGAGGAAACGAAGAATACACGACATTACATAGGTAGGGAAGTGGGTAGGTCTGAAAGGAGCTAAAGAAGAGGAGTGACTATGGCCAGAATACATTGTGCAAAATTCTCGAAGAGCTAATAAAAAGAAAAGAAAGTTACTCAAAAAAGACAGGTTTCTGGATCTCCCTGGTGAAAATCAATCACTTGGAGAAATTAGTAGAACCCCTGGAGATAGAAAAATGATAACTTATAAATAAATAAACTGTAGGCAAAGTTTTTTATTTATATTGATCACCTGTCTTTAATCTAAAGTTATCTGGAAAAAAATGAAAAATAAGAAAATATTATTTTATCCAGCTCAGTGGATACTTGGTTTGGCCTGTTATTTCGTTAACCAAAAATACACAATAATTATTTTGTATAGCAACTCAGTAGATATATGACTCTTTAAAAACAGACATTTTTCAGTGGTTGAATGTCAATGATCTTGCTGGATATCTCAAAGGAACACTAACAGAGCATATAAAAGCCCTTAACACATAAATCCAGCATTCAGGACTGGCCAATAAATCTGCAAATGTTTTTCTGTCTGACTTGAATAATTCTTTGTTAGCTATCTCAAGAGATAAGAAAGTTAATCTCCACACTGCAGCCACAGTTATGCCACACGATGTATCAGGTTTTTTCTTCTGTGTTCACTTGCCCCCCTCCTTGACTCCCTAGCTCATACAGGGGAAACTCCAAGTGCACGTAGAGACATTCAGAATCCTACAGGATGTTACTCCTCGGTACCTCCCTGCCTTCATCTGCAACTACCATATTCCTCAACTCCTCCTACCCACCTCCTTCACATACTTAGCAGGCATGCACCTTATTTTAAATGTTCATTACCCAAGACAATTTTCTCATCTGTTTAAAAGTAATACCTTCCTTCCTTCTGTCTGAAGTGATATCTTTTCTATGAAGTCTTCTTATACTTCCTTAAAACACACTCTAAGTCTAACATATTTTTTTTCTATTGCATTTAACACTACCTGGAATACTCTAGCATTTTTTTTCTAATTTCATTTCCTAATGCCTGTAGTTTAATCCCCTGTTGTACATTTACATATAGAAAAGTGCTTAGTACAAAGCGTGGCAGTTAAAGCCTGATATCCCCACAAAATCAAGCGTCGAGGCCATTCTTCACTATAGAATTTTAAGGTAGCATGAGCTATATGGTTCCCTACCTCACATCTCTACCTATAAAAAAAGGAAAATACCCAGAATATATTAGGGTCTCAGTAAATGTTTACCAAATCACTAGCTATTAAAAATTAAATAAGGCCACCAGAATATGCTAATGAGGCCTGAATTTTATCTAACTGTATTTTGCAGGATGAAGAAGATGACCAACAAAGTTTTAAGTGGGAAAAAACATAACAAAGCACCCCATACGTGTGAATTACTGGAGACCAATCAGAGGAAAAGCATAAACACATTTTATAATTCAATGTTGATGAGGCAGGAGTTTATAGATTGCCTTCCATTAAACTCAGCTTAAATGATCTTAATCATTATCAGTGACATCTTCACTAATATTTTGGAATCTCTGGAGCATGTTCCTTTCCTTTATCAGGTGAAATTCAATAAATTCTGGGGAATCTGCTACAGAATATCTTTGTTTTACTATTATAAAATGTACCTTAGCATTCTTAGTAATACACTTCTTGTATTTGAATCCAGTATTTCTAATATTAGTGCTGCCAGTCAGCTTGTCTCTTTTGTTGTTGTTGTTGTTCACGGACATTTTCATGAATTTTCCCATATACTTATGCTTACTCACTGTGTATTTACCCTTTCCACTTGACTCATTTATTTTCCACATCTTAGACAATTTGATGTTATACTAACACAAAGTTATCCATGCTTTTAAAATAATTTACATGGTTTCTCTTGTAACGACCCCAGTTCACTTTTACTTACTTCAATAGCATCTACTCTACTCTTTAAAGTCCATTTAGCCATTTTTTTCACATAAAATACTGTGTTTTGCAGAGCTAGACTGTGTATCTGATTTGACTACTTCATATAATTTCCTACTGCTGGAATAGGGGTTTTCTACCTATATTTGTACAGTCATCAAATATATATTCTATTTTATAGTATCAAACATATTTATAAGAATATTTGATCAATCTTGTTTGCTCATTCTAATATCCCTGTAATATAGCCTTTTAAATTATTTCCTCCTGCTAGTTTTTGGAGACTTAGGGTTCCATATGTTTTAAAAATAATGCCCCTTCTTTACCCACCAAGTTTTAAGCACTGAAGGGTCAGTGTCCAACTTCAGGTACTTCTGAGAAGTGACAGAAAGTATGTATGTTGAACCTGGCTGGAAGACGTAGGTCACAGTAGGT